ACTCAAAAAATATCAAAGTTATGGGAATTCCGATCAATCAGTTATATGGAAGTTCTAGCATATAAAATCGGCCGATCCCTATAATGACCAAAATATGGAAATATAGCAGATAACATTTACCCGCCTCTTGACTGCCTTAAGGGGTTATATACCTTTTTTATTTTCAAAAAATCGAAAATTTTTTTATTGCTTTATCTTGAAGAACAACTCCTTGAGAATATTTTCCCAAATTTTCGTAGAGATTGGAGCAGTAGAAAAAAAGTTACAGCGCTCCTAATGTTCGTAATGAAATTCTTCTGTGCTTGAACGATCGACTTTTCACGCACAAACTTTTTTTTCGCCAAAATGAATTTTTTAGTGAGATTTCTAGAGACAAAAAAGTTCATTTTTAGCATAAAACGTTCCCGTATGATTAAAAAAAATAAAAATTGTAAAATCGATCGTTCAAGCACAAGGAAATACACTAAACTAATGAAATTTTTTTATTTTTATGGTTTAAGTTGACCTGTTTGACCTGGGGAACTGTCACCGCAAGGCTCTAAAAAAAAAAAGCCTCTAAGGGAAACAGCCACCCCTTAAAAACTATTTAATATTTTTCCAACAAATTTTGCACAAACATTGTTAATAAAGTGTACTATCAAAAAATTAAAACATCCCTGTAATTAAATAATTGCTACATACCTAAAAAAAAATCCGAACTTTCCTCTTTTTCTTCGACAAAGAAGGTATACATATAACCCCTTAATGATTATGAATTCTCGAGAACAAATAATGCTTAATGCCTTACTAAATGAATTCTCGAGAACAAATGCTAGAGCTTTGTTTGGAGTTATTGGTACGGGTTTTTGATGCGGGCTCCATTTGCAGACGTGGAATTCTTTAAAACTTAAGCGATGTCTTTTTGGTTTTTTTTCGTGCCGAAATTGTGGCTGCATGTAAAATCAAACTTGTCTTATTTTCCTCGCTGCTTGCCAGATCAGTTTCCAGCTTATGTTTAAGACGAGATTTTCCGTTTTCATATATAAGTCTTGGACAGCAGAAATAAAGCAGCAATGTCTATGCTTAAGTCTATTTCCATTTTTGCATTTAACCCGACTGACCGTTTTTTTAAGTTTTCTATTTCTTTATTGCATTTACGCAAATTATCCAGGAAATAAATATCAAAGTTTCTGCTTTCAGTTATAATAGAATAGAATGTAATGATATTTATACCCTTGCAGAGGATATTATAATTTTGTCCAAAAGTGTGCAACGCAGTGAAGGAGACATCTCCGACCCTATAAAGTATATATATTCCTGATCATGATCACCTCCTGAGTTGATATGAGCATGTCCGTCTGTCCGTCTATCTGTTTCTACGCAAATTAGTCTCTCAGTTTTAAAGCTATCGTCTTAAAACTTTGCACACACCCTTCCTTCCTTTGCACGCAGTATATAAGTCGGAACGGCCCGGATCGGCCGACTATATCCTATAGCTGCCATATAACTGATTGATCGGAAATGGTATAACTTTGGTGTTTTTAGAGTTAGAGAGAGAAATTTTACATAAGGGCTATATTTGGGAAAACATTACGACATGCCAAATTTCATAAGGATCGGCCGACTATAACTTATAGCTGCCATATAACTGAACGATCGGAAATGACCCAACTTTCGTGTTTTTGATGATAGAAAGCTGGAATTTAGTACAGATTATACTTTTGGTCAGTTGATCCAACCTACGAAATTTCATTAGGATCGGCCGACTATATCCTATAGCTGTCTTATAACTGAACGATCGGAAATGGTATTTGGTAGAAATATCAACTTTTGTGTTTTTGAAGATAGAAGCTTGGGACTTTTTTTTAGATTTTTTATTGTAATTAATTGGTTTTATTATGATGTAATCATAAGAATCGACCAACTATATCCAATGTTTGCGATATATATCCGGTTTTAACTGCAAGGGTATATCAACTTCGTTTTATTATGCAATTATAATAAGGATCCTCCCACTATGCTTTATTCAATGCTTCATGCGTCCATGCTTTATTTTCCATATATTTCCAATCTTAACTACAATGGTACATCGTCTTCGGCTCCGCCCGAAGTAAGCTTTCCTTTCTTGTTTATTACTGCTTTTATTATTGTATCACTAATGTATAATTTTCGACTTTAAGGGGTTATATACAGTTGTACCGCGCAAAAATATGGATTTTTATCGATTTTTTTTTGACACCATAGAAAATATTTATGAAAAATGTTTTACCGACGTTGTTTAGTACATGTTTCTGGGTACTTAATTAAATTTTTTCATAAAAAAATATTACATAACAAAACTGTTATAGCCGAATCCCCGGATCGTCTTTTTTCGATGGTGTCTTGCGGTGGACAAGATTTCTCGAAAACGGTTCATCCGAAATCCAAAATTCAAAAAATTTTAGTTAGTATATTGTATTGTCTAGTCCGTGAACGAGGGATTTTTAAAAATTTTGATTAAAAAAAAAATGGCGACGTTTTTAACAAAAAATGTACTTTTTCAACGTATAAGATTTTCGTTTTTTGTGCTTTAAAAAAGGAGTTTTCAAAAAATTGAAAATCCCTCGTTCACGGACTAGCTAATATCATAATAAATAAGTGGTCAAAATTTGGTGTTGATCGGATTAGTAGTTTTTTAGTAATCGTGTCCACCGCAAAGGTAATTTCCCAAAAAAAAGATTCAGAGATAATCGCGTTTAAAGTTTCAAGGTTGTTCAAGTTTTATATGCAGATAGTGCGCTTTAAATAGCTGCAGCTTCAGTTCTAATGCTCCGATCGTTATGAATTTTTGTGAGAGTATTCCCAATAAAATATACTTAAAGAATATGCAATAAAAAAAAAATCGATTTTTTCATATATCACAACTGTATATAACCCCTTAATCTGTGCCCAAGTTCTTTTTTCTTTGCAAACAGTACATAAGATGAAACTGTCTGGAAATATGTATTATAATTTAGCAACCATTATAATTTAGAACTGATCGATTGAAAATGCCTTTATCTTCATATGGATCGGCCAATTATGTATATCCTGTACCCAGGCGCGTTTCCCTCATCGAAACAATCGATCGAAAATTACACCTCACTATTACAAAAAAAAACGAATATTTCTTTACAACTTTTGACAACTTCAAAGAACACAACATGAAACAAGAAATGAAAGCCAACTTGGGGCGAAGCCGAAGTTAATATACCCTTGCAATTAAAACCGGATATATATAACAAACATCGGATTATGAGAATATCATAATAAAACCAATTTATTTGAATATAAAATCCAAAAATAAGTCCCAAGCTTCTATCTTCAAAAATACCAAAGTTGGTATTTGTACCAAATAATCATTTATTTGGTGATAATCATTTATCACCAAAAATACTATTTCCGATTCTTCAGTTATATGGCAGCTGTAGAATATAGTCGGCTGATATAGGAGGTGATCGTTATGAAATCAGGTATGTCGTATTATACTGCCAAAAATAGCATTCGTAAATAATCCGAACTCTCTAACTCTAAAAACAAAAAAAAACATTTCCGATCAATCGATCAAGTTATATGGCAGTTGGCCGATCTCGGCCGTTCCGACTTATATACTGCGTGCAAAGGAAAGTTATTGGTCGAACTTTTGGAAACGCTTGTTATTAAAGGATCTGACGATACTAACAATAAGTGCAAAAGATTCTCCATTGTGTTTTTGCAAGAGTTTTTATGTGTATGGCTCAAGCGACAATTTTTGAAATCTTTGATTCGGGCTTATAAGGTTTTTTCGGACATTAGTCCGATCGGAAGTGGCACATTTTCGCTTATATCCGCGCACGGTCACGTAGGGGCAGCTGAACATGGATAATTTATACACTAGACGAATCAAAGAAGGGAACTATAAACATTGTTGGAATTAAACATAAATTACACAGTGCGACTATTACAGACTATTTAACTCAGGAGGTGATCCTAATCAAGAATACTTTATGGGTTCAAAGATATCTCCTTTACTGCGTTGCACACTTTTTGACCAAAATTTTAACACCCTTTGCAAGGGTATCATAAGGACATTTAATAGCTATGTTGCATATTTGCATCATCACCATATGAAGGATTTAGTAGATATTTGTATATTTATATTTCAAAATATTTGTAACTAAACACTGCACATATGCAGTAATTTTAAAAATATTCCCATTTCTATAGGTTAAATGATTTACCTTAAATCTTATAGATTTCTAAGAAAAAGTGTGAATGGAGAAAACATTCAAAACCTTAAACCTGTGGGTGTGTCTAAACATGCTTAGGCTTGTCGATGCTCCACTTTACAAAAAAATTCATACATACATATGTACATAATATCTTGTACGCACGCCCAATCGTCGTGTTTTTATAAGCTTTGTGCGGAAGTATGCGGCTAACGGATGCATGAATCGAATGTTGTATCAACTTAAAACAATTCTATTGGACGCCTATATAGCAATTTACTTTTCGCACGAAATTAAATTTGGGACTAATTGCAACATGTTCGTTGTCTAACAAATAACCCCATGAAAAAGTAATAGGTATGCCTTTGTAAGTGATATATATAAATATGTAAATACATACATAAACGTTTCTTGCATGTTATTTATTTTTCTTTTTAAACGTTATTTTCGCCAAGCTTTACTTTCATCTATGTATCACTATTAATTTGTACGTACTTCGTATTATTAAACATACATATACTTATGTATGTATGTAAAAAAATATATACGCATGTATGTATATATGTATGTATGCATAGCTAGGTAGTTGCCACCCCACACTAAGTTTACAAATATTTTCCCTCAACGGTCTCCTTCGCACTCGCTCACAAAACTCGAGGGAGACAGACGCTTCGTATCAGAACCAACCAACCACAGTGTTTCGGCAAGGTATTCGGTGGTGTGTAAGCCAGCTTCAGTAGCAATGACCAATCGAAATGGTTTTTCAAAACATTCACGACCAACAAAGAGGTCGCTCGCAGGCCAGATCGTGGGTCGGCCTAGTTGGGTTTTGGGACGAGTCCGTTAAAGGCAAGTCGTTGCGTTATTATTGCCTTTTGTGTTTTTAAAATAAATGTAGTTTGGCCGACGCGTTTTACATTTTTATAAAAGATTACCAGTTTACAAGTTACAACAGCCGTTCTGTTCTCGTTTTTAATAATCGATATATATTAAAAATCTGTATCGGTATTGCCAATTGAAGGAATGGATCAAAGCGTGGAGGCAATAAGGCACGTTTAAATCAAAAATTTCTTGATGGTGTCAATTCCCGATTTTGGGAGTAATGATTGAGAAGTGAACAAGTGAAATTAAACAAAAGAGACTGCTCTTGTACCTCCTCATATCCCTATGCAAAAGCATTCTTAAGTGAACGCCAGGAGTTTTCTAACATCATAATTTTAATTTTTTAACGGGAGTTTCTTATGCCATCCCGCTCACCAACCCCTCCCCCACCCTCACAGAGTGGAGCTTAAACCAAACGTCTAGATTTGGAGTTCGTATAATTACTTTATTAGGAAAAGTGGGCTCGTTATCAATATCAAAGACTGAATTTGTATGTATCACATCTAAGAGCCTATATTTGAATTGAAGTTCGAGGCCGCGGCTTAATCACGCCCACGTAAATACCTACACTCTGTCATGTTTACACTGCAATCAGCTCCTGCCACCATCACTTCCGTAGGGCCGTCGTGGTCAGCAGGAACTTTGTTAGAGCGTCTTCCGTCTTTGGAGGATATGGCTCATAAGGGTAAGTAATGAACATTATTTTTAATTAAAGCCCGTTCTTTGCAATCGGAAGAGCTACCAATTTAATAAATTGCATTTAACTTTTTTCTTAAATCTTGGGAAATAGTTGATCGGCCCACGTCGATCATTTTTCATTTATAGCTGATCAAATAAAAACAAGAAAAGAAAGCGTGTTAAATCTGTAATCTGTCTCGATGTAAGAAAAAAATATCCGATTTAAACTTATTACTTATTATTTTTATAAAATTAAAAGATAATTTGTTGAAATACCAAAAAAAAAAATAACACATTGCGACAGTGGTTTTCAACTTTTGAAGAGACCTAGTAGGAATTGTTTATTAGACCAAATATAGTACAAAACCGTGTTTGAAATATTTCTAACACCCTCAAAATCTTGATTTATTTAGAAAAAACGGTTTTTGGGACTTTTTTGCTCTTTTAAATTCTATAACGCGCAATTTTAGACGGATTTTAAAATTTCCGACGTTTTTTAATAGTTAATAGTTTTTTTGACGTTTTTGAATTTTTGTGGTGTTTTTCGGACTTTGACGCCATTTTTTCGGTACAACTTCCAGGAAATGGTATAATTTTTGACACATATAAATATTTTCTCATTAATTCTGAACAAAATGAGACCAATTGCATAAAAAATTATGAAAATTGTTGAAGCTATAACGCTTTGCCAAAACTAGTCAGTGTATGGTAATCTTCCTACCGTTTGCACTGTGTTGTCGCAGTGTGTAATTAACTAGCGCTTTTAAAGTTCTGGATCAGGTCAAATACGCAGAGATAATAATTGCAAAAAAACTGGCCGTCTCAAAATTACGAAACAATGAAGTCGACTTGAGCGTAATGAGGTTAAATCATAATCTACACACAAAAGAAATCTTCGTTTTAGGAAGACTTATGTAGCGTTCTACAAGTTCGAAATCTTGAATCTTTTTCAAACACGGGTTGATCGAAAAATCTATTGGTATTTCTTAAGAAAGAATGATGGAACATTCTACAAATTCTAATTTTAGTTTTCTATTTTTTTTTAGAATTCTAACGATCTAACGAATTTTAAACGAATCCCCCTATGCTAATTGAATTTTCAATTATCCTCCCTATACTTACCAATCGGAAATCTGGTGTTTTTCAATATACAAGTTATTTTTTAAGCTTATAGTTTAAGAAGTTTTTTTATACCCTTGCAGAGGGTATTATAATTTTGGTCAAAAGGGTGCAACGCAGTGAAGGAGACATCTCCGACCCTATAAAGTATATATATTCTTGATCAGGATCACCTCCTGAGTTGATATGAGCACGTTCGTCTGTCCGTCTGTCTGTCTGTTTCTACGCGAACTAGTCTCTCAGTTTTAAAGCTATCGTCTTGAAACTTTGCACACACCCTTCCTTCCTTTGCACGCAGTATATAAGTCGGAACGGCCCGGATCGGCCGACTATATCCTATAGCTCCCATATAACTGATTGATCGGAAATGGTATAACTTTGGTTTTTTTAAAGTTAGAGAGTTCAAATTTGACATGAGAGCTATTTTTGGCAATATAATACGACATGCCAAATTTCATAAGGATCGGCCGACTATATCTCATAGCTGCCATATAACTGAACGATCGGAAATGACCCAACTTTTGTGTTTTTGAAGATAGAAAGCTGGAACTTGGTACAGATTATATTTTTGGTCAGTTTATCCAACCTACCAAATTTCATAAGGATCGGCCAACTATATCCGATGTTTGCGATATATATCAGGTTTTAGCTGCAAGGGTATATAAACTTCGGCTCCGCCCGAAGTAAGCTTTCCTTTTTTGTTTTATTTTAAAATTTTTATAAATTCTCATTAACTATATGATATTTCGATATGTATTCTATCCGATATACATCTTATATTATAAACCGCATTAATTGAAATCTAGCCTCGACTTCACTGAAGTTAGCTTTTATTTTCTTGTTATACCCTTGCAGAGGGTATTATAATTTTAATCAACAGTGTGCAACGCAGTGAAGGTCGAGCCTCTCCGACACTATAAGGGGTCATATATATTTTTAATTAGGACCTCCTCCTGTTTCTACGCGAACTAGTCTCTCAGTTTCTAAGAAATTTCTTTTGATTATATTTTTGGAATATTATAAAAAATAATATGAAAGTAATATATATTTCGGGTTCGAAGAGTATTTATTCTTGTAGTTATAGAATAAATAGCAAGTATGTTAAAAATATAAAAGACCGACGGATTCAAAAAATTTTAAATTATTTAGAAGTTATCTTCTTAAAGCTGTACAAATTTCACTCGGGATAATAATCCCGATAAATGTATGATTAAATGGTATATAATATAGTCGGTCGATCCTGACCGTTCCTTTTATACTGGGGACAAAACAACGAAGAATGTGTGAATTCTTTGAAATAACTGCTTTAAAACTGAAAGACTAGTTTGCGCGGAAAAAGACAAACGGAGATTCTTATATCGTCTCATTAAGTGATCATGATCAGGACGTATACATACATATATGAAGTCAATTATATATTTGGATGTCTCATGCACTGTGTTTCACACTTTTACCCATAATAATTAAACACTCTGCACGGGTATAATTATCAAAATCAGGGTTCATTCTATAAAAAGGGTTAAAAGATCTAAAAATGTTCAACTTCATACAACTTGCGTATGGGACATATGGAATATTGCAAAACGATTATACAGACTAGGTTTACACATTTGAACACGATAATTTGACGTGTAAAGTAATATAAGCTTTAAAATAAATCATTTTTAATTATACCTTAAAACCATAATGATGACATACATAAGTGACTGTTTGATGTGATTTTACTCTTTTGATATTTTTTTAGACAATGTGATTGCTATGAGAAATCTGCCATGTTTGGGTGCCGTTGGTGGTAGTGGATTTGGCGGTATTGGTGGAAAACCGACTGTGAGTGAATCTACTATGGATGCCGTAGATGCGAACACAGGGCCACAACCCCACTCATCATCGTCGTACTTCACAACAACATATTATCACTTGACTGAAGACGAATGTATGTTTTCATATAAGCTTTTCTGCAAACACATTTTTTACATTTTTTATCCTTTAAATAATTTGTTAAATTTACATTTATTCTACAATTAAGCTTACTTATCTTTTCCCCAAGTCCGAAGAATATTTTCGTAAGTTTAATGAAGACTCTCTGAAGACTCTTTGAAATTTTTAAATTTATACTGGATGCTAATAAAATAGCAACATCAATTATTTAAATTAGGAATTTTCTTTTGCATAAATAAAAGGAAATCTTTTTGCGTAAATTTTGAACGTTGCCTGTTCAAACACTAAAAAGCGCGCACATGCTGCCAATTATAATAACACAATGCCAATAGCTGATCAGTGGTGACAATTGAGTTCCGTGTCGACTTTTATGTGAATGATGACCCAAGAAATTTCCAAGTAATCCTCGGAGTTTATTCCCAATCAAAGACCGAATCCCCATACCTTTCTCTGTCGAATTGTTAGGTACTTGGTAGGGCTATTGTTGCTTTTATGAATCAATACAATAATTTTCCACCTTTAATGGTCTTGAAGTATTTGTTCTATACGGCTCTCGATCGCTTCGTGTGATGTAGCTACAAATAGAAACAATTATTCGAATTGAAAGCCGAAGTCGAGTAAATACAAATACTTACAATGCACTCAGAAATGTTAAATGAGCCTCTTTAGCGGATGTCCAAAAACCAGCGCATTGTAAATCGTATTTTCAACCCTCTTTGAATTGTATTGTCGATTTTCGCAGGCGAAAATCGGTCCTTGCTTCTGATCCGCATACTCTCAGGGGGGGACCAGGTCCAGTAAATTATTTGTAAACTATTGTTTGGCTTGCGAACTGATTTGTGTTGAAATTACATTAATAATCCCAATAGAGAGACTTTGTACCTATTGTTTCTCATTTCGCTTTTAGAAATGTACTTTATATGACTGAGTAGGCCCAGAAACAGAAAAAGTGACTCATAATGTGGCATGACTTTATTAAAGGGAATGGAGGCGTTTAAAACATAATTTCAGGTATCTTATGAAGTTTTAAAAGAAGTTTTTTTTACTTTTTTTTTTTGTGGTTTATAACGTTATCTATCTTCAGACGCATAATGATCAAACAAAAAACATTCGGATTAAGCCCTTGTCAAGGGGCTTTCTCAAAAGATATGCTGCTTATGCTTCATTGGTTTTATACCAATAAAGAAGTAAATTGATATACATATTTTGGGATTTTATTTCAACATTATCAAGTAACTGGAACCTTTTTAAACCTTAATATGCTTCACTGGAAAATAGAGAAGTCTCTTTTAAGGCCTTCTTCATCGGTATTGACTGTAATCATTTTGGGCGGCAGTACACGTAGGTGACCGAAGAAACCAAAGAATTTAAAATTGTCATCCCAACCTAATATGTAATATTTTTAGAAAAACAAAAGTCTTCCGATTTACTTAAAGTTTCGATAAAAGTGAAAAAATTTGATCCCCTTAATTGGTACTAGTGGGATAGTCATTAAAAAAAAATATTTTTATTGTTACATTTTTTGAATTCTTGCCGATTGGTACTCCAACCTTTTTGGGTCGGGCCCTTTGGAAAAGTTACTAAAGAATATTTATAAACCGTTTCCAAAATGAAATTTAGTTTGTCCATGTATTTGTCGATATCTCTTACTAAAAATTGAACAACTTGTGTAGCTTAAGCTTGCTTTACAAATTTTTTTTTTTTAAATTCATAAAAAACAAGAAAGGAAAGCTAACTTCGGGCGGAGCCGAAGTTGATATACCCTTGCAGTTAAAACCGGATATATATCGCAAACATCGGATATAGTTGGCCGATCCTTATGAGAATATGATAATATAACTCAAGTTATTATTATATAGAATCTAAAAAAAACCCCAAATTTCTATTTCCAAAATACCAGAGTTGGTATTTCTACCAAAAACCATTTCCGATCGTTCAGTTATATGACAGCTATAAGATATAGTCGGCCGATCGTTATGAAATTCAGTAGGTCGGATAAACTGACCAAAAATATAATCTGTACCAAGTTCCAGCCAAGTACCAAGTTTCTATCTTCAAAAACACGAAATTTGGGTCATTTCCGATCGTTCAGTTATATGGCAGCTATAGGTTATAGTTGGCCGATCCTTATGAAATTTGGTAGGTTGGATTAAGGGACCAAAAATATACTCTGTACAAAGTTTCAGATCTATCTTCAAAAACACGAAAGTTGGGTTACTTCCGATCGTTCAGTTATATGGCAGCTTAGGATGTAGTCGGCCGATCCTTATGAAATTTGGCATGTCGTATTATTTCGTATTATTGTCGTAATGCCAAAAGTAGCTCTCATGTAAAATGTGAACTCCCTAACTCAATAAACAGCAAAGTTATATGGAAGCTATAGGATATAGTCGGCCGATCCCGGCCGTTCCGATTTATATACTGCGTGCAAAGGAAAGAAGGGTGTGTGCAAAGTTTCAAGTCGATAGCTTTAAGGATGTAGTCTCATGTGCCGGCCTACTTTTTAGAGGTTATTTCAAAAAAAAATTTTTTGTAATAAAAAATAATGCGATCGTTTCAATTTTCAAATATGTTTTTATAAGCATCATAAACTATTTGAAAATATTTTGTTTAATTTATTCTTGTGTAGTTGAATACACTTTATAGCATGCCAAAGTATGCATATAAAAAAAAAAGATAGGTCCCTGGCGCAGGTGATTTCGACTGCTAGAGTCATCCGAAACAAAAAATTAGAATAGATTATTGTTTTGTAAGCTAATGGCTCTGTCCCGGACTAGAATGAAATATTTTCATCAATAAACAACAAAATGGCGAACTCACAAAACAAAAAATTTGTTTTAATTTAAAAAAATTGTCTTAAATTAATGATAAAAAAAAAACTAATCATTAAAAATAAATGATTCTAGTACGGGACAGAGGTGTTACTTTTTAGAACAACATATCCAAATTTCAGCTAGATCGGTACCATAGAATTTTGTGAATCACCTGCGCCGCACACAAAAATGTCGTTTCGAGAAAAGCGCGTTTAAAGTTTAGACGCTACCGAGAAACTCATACTTTTCGGTGTAGGCGCGCTCTCGATTATGGGCTGTATCTCTGTCATTATTTGATATTTTTATTTGAAACTTTAACAGTACATTCATAATAAACAATACTATCAAAATATAAAAAAAAAAAAAAATTGATTTTTTCAACCTCACACATGAGACTACATCCTTAAAACTGAGAGACTAGTTTGCGTAGAAACAGACAGACGGACAGACAGACAGACGGACATGCTTATATCAAATCAGGAGGTGATCCTGATCAATAATATATATACTTTATAGTGTCGGAGACGTCTCCTTCACTGCGTTGCATACTTTTGACCAAAATTATAATACCCTCTGCAAGGGTATAATAAAAGATTTTATTACATATAAGACGAAAAAGAATTATATTTCTATTTGACTTTCTTTTAAACTAATAGTATAAAAAACAATAAATAAAAGCTAATTTTGAGCGGAGCCGAAGTTGCTTTACCCTGGGCTTATATGAAAAGCAAATATCTGATATAGTAGGTCGATTCTTATGAAAATTTTATTATAAGCCCATTTTCTTATAATAAAACAAGGAAGAAAAAGTTAACTTCGTGAATTTCCAATTGTTCTGTTATATCGCAGCCACAGGATTTAGGCGGCTGATATCATGTCAAAAGGTGATCCTGGTCATAAATATATATACTTCCCTCACTTGCGTTGCGTTGCCAAGTGTTAAATTAAAACAAGAAAGGAAAGCTAACTTCGGGCGGAGCCGAAGTTAATATACCCTTGCAGGTAAAACCGGATATATATCGCAAACATCGTATATAGTTGGCCGATCCTTATGAGAATATGATAATATAACTCAAGTTATTATTATATAGAATCTAAAAAAACCCCAAATTTCTATTTCCAAAATACCAGAGTTGGTATTTCTACCAAAAACCATTTCCGATCGTTCAATTATATGGCAGCTATAAGATAAGCCGGTCGTTATAAAATTTGGTAGGTCGGATTAACTGACCTAAAATATAATCTGTACCAAGTTCCAGCTTTCTATATTCAAAAACACAAAAGTTGGGTCAATTCCGATCGGTCAGTTGTATGGCAGCTATAGGATATAGTCGGCCGATCCTTATGAAATTTGGTAGGTCTGATTATCTGACCAAAAGTAGTATTTGTACGAAGTTTAAGATTTCTATCTTCAAAAACACGAAAGTTGGGTTATTTCCGATCGTTCAGTTATATGGCAGCTATGGGATATAGTCGGCCGATCCTTATGAAATTTGGCATGTCGTATTATTTTGCCAAAAATAGCACTCATGTCAAATTTGAACTCTCTAACTTTAAAAACACCAAAGTTATACCATTTCCGATCAATCAGTTATATGGCAGCTATAGGATATAGTCGGCCGATCCCGGCCGTTCCGACTTATATACTGCGTGCAAAGGAAAGAAGGGTGTGTGCAAAGTTTCAAGACGATAGCTTTAAAACTGGGAGACTAGTTCGCGTAGAAACAGACAGACAGACGGACAGACGGACCGACGGACAGACGGACAGACGGACATGCTCATATCAACTCAGGAGGTGATCCTGATCAAGAATATATATACTTTATAGGGTCGGAGATGTCTCCTTCACTGCGTTGCACACTTTTGGACAAAATTATAATACCCTCTGCAAGGGTATAATTAACACTTTCTGCAAGGGTATAAAAATATTCTTATTCGGCACGTGCAAAAACAAACTATGTACATATTTTAATATGGGGTAAAATAAAGGCAACGCCCATTTGATGGTGACAGATAAGTCACCGGCAGTCAGAAAAATTTCTTACATAAAACCACAGATATTTTCTTTTAAAAGAGTTACAAATTAAAAAAATTTAAAAATTATTTTCATCATTATCTACAATGGTGTACGTGTTTCATATTATAACTTTTATAGTAGAATTTTGTTTTTACATTGTTTCAGGTCACAGTGGAGTGAATCAATTGGGAGGTGTTTTTGTTGGTGGTCGCCCTCTTCCAGATTCAACTCGACAAAAGATTGTTGAATTGGCCCATTCTGGAGCTAGGCCGTGCGACATTTCTCGGATTCTCCAAGTTTCAAACGGATGTGTTAGCAAAATTCTTGGAAGGTAAGAAAATAGAGAAACAGCGTATTTTTTTACTCTGGCCATTTTTATAATACTTAATAGCTTTTATAACTATTGTAAAAAAGTTTGCCCCGCTGTCAAAAAGGAATTTTCGATCCTTTAAAGTTAGGATATCAGCTGATATTAGCTTTTTCCTTTGTTTGACACAAACGTGTCTTTAAGTTATCTGCGTTTTTCATTTATCCATTATAACATTGGCGTAGCCGTTTTTTAACCCAGCACGTCAATATATGTCCGCGCGACGGGCACCAAAATATCCTGGTTACCACCTCGGTGCTGGTGGTATGACGCGGGGCATTTCTTCATTTATATTTTATATTTTCGAGATCCACGCGTTCATACGGATATGGCTATATAGACTCTATATCGGCTATATCAAACAGCCGTTGATGCTGATCAAGAATATATATACTTTTTGGGGTCGAAGATGATTTATTCTCTATGTTACATAACATACATTCACACGACTACAATATACCCTTATACCCGAGGACCGGGTACAAAAATAAACAAGAAAGGAAAGCTAACTTCGGGCGGATCCGATATATTTTCTTCTTACTCTGGCCAGCAAAAGCGATTTTGAATGAAGGCAAATTTTTTAAAGACGTTCAATTTCCTCAATCGTAATCATTATAACATAAAAAGGGCATAACATAGAAATAACATGTTAACAGCAAGAAACTTACCAAGAAAAAACTTAGAAACTTTTTAATTTCACATATTACATATAATCGTAATCATTATAACATAAAAAGGGCATAACATAGAAATAACATGTTAACAGCAAGAAACTTACCAAGAAAAAACTTAGAAACTTTTTAATTTCACATATTACGAAATTCATTATAAAATTTGAATAACTTAAAAATTATTTTAAACAAGAAAGGAAAGTTTTGGGCGGATCCGAAGTTGATAAACCCTTGCAGTTAAAACCGCTTATATATCGCAAGCATCGGATATAGTTGGCCGATCTTTATGAGAATACAACAAGAAAGGAAAGCTAACTTCGGGCGGAGCCGAAGTTGATATACCCTTGCAGCTAAAAGCGGATATAAATCGCAAACATCGGATAAAGGTTGCCGGTCCTTATGAGAATATCATTATAAAACCAATTAATTACAAAACAAGAAAGGAAAGCTAACTTCGGGCGGAGCCGAAGTTGATATACGCTTGCAGTTAAAACCGGAATATAGAATAAAATCTGTACCAAGTTCCAGCTTTCTATCTTCAAAAACACGAAAGTTGGGTCATTTCCGATCGTTCAGTTATATGGCAGCTATAGGATATAGTCGGACGATCATTATGAAATTTGGCATGTCGTATTATTTTGCAAATAGCTCTGGCAAAAAAGGCAAAATTTGCAAATAGCTCTCATGTCAAATTTGAACACTCTAACTTTAAAAACACGAAAGTTGGGTCATTTCCGATCCATCAGTTATATTGCAGCTATAGGATATAGTCGGCCGATCCCGGCCGTTCCGACTTAAATACTGCGTGCAAAGGAAAGAAGGGTGTGTGCTTTAAAACTGTGCTTTAAAAGACGATCCTGATCAAGAATATATATACCTTATAGGGTCGGAGATGTCTCCTTCACTGCGTTGCACACTTTTGGACAAAATAATCATACCCTCTGCAAGAGTATAATAATATAACTAGTTTATTACAATACAAAATCTAAAAAAATTACCAAGCTTCTATCTTCAAAAACACCAAAGTAAGTATTTTTGTCAAATATTATTTCCGATCGTTCAGTTATAGGGCAGCTATAAGATATAGTCGGCCGATCGTTATGAAAATCGGTATCTCGGATCAACGGAATAAAAATAGAATCTGTACGAAGTTCTATCTTTCTGTCGGCCGATCCTTATAAAATTTGATATGTCGTAGTATTTTGCCAAAATTTTCGTACAAAATCTGAACTCTCTAACTCTACAAACACAAATGTAATAGCATTTCCGATCATTCAGTTGTAATTTTGTGCGTCGAATTATTTTTCCTAAAATAGCATTCGTACGAAATCTGAACTCTTTAACTTAAAAAAGTTTTTTAAAATACATTCCAGTACTGGCGTTGCAAAAATTTGCAATTTTTGGTGGAGGGCGTTGAAAATTTTGAAACAAACTTGAGATGAGTGGGTATTGTAGGAGTCTCCATGCCAAATCCTATAGCTTGTGTTGAAAGGGGACGCACATGCATACGATTTTATTTTTGGAACTCTACATGTAGGCCTCAAAAAATGTGCGCCTTTTTGTGTATGTGTGATTGCTCGTAGGACGGCGTAAAAATGTTTTGGCTTCGAAATTTCAATTTCTCAACGTTTCTGTTTACAATGCGCCGATGTGGTAGTAGAACAAATAGTACTTTTGTTCAGTCGCAGTCAAGTCAAGGTGGTAGCCTAATGCATAGAGTAGTAGTTTCTCTCTGTATAATTTTCCTAGGTTTGAATCCTGCTTAGAACTTCGACGTTTTTCTTTTTTTTTTTTTGAATTATCTTTAGGCTTTATCTTTAATTATAACATTCAAGAAAAATAACTGAAAATTATAGCCGGTAAATAAAATTCCAAGGGAGTCCGTCCGTCATTTTGTTATCCGACACGTCAGTCACTATTTTCTCCATTCCGCTAATTTCTCATAATAAAATTAATAAAAACATAATTATTTTTACTACAATAGAAATAAAAAATAATAATAAAGTAAATATAAAAAGTAAAAAAAAATAATAATAATAAAAAAATTATAAAATGTACCAAAAAAGTAAAATTCACTTTTTAAAAATTGAAACAACATCACTCATAAAATCGAACTCTGGACCCCAAAATTAAGGAGTGCGCGCTTTCCATCAAGGCTACCCTCCAAGTTGATTCAGTGATACTTAATGTTGGTATTTAAATAAAAACGAGAATCCCTAGCAAAATCAGAGCTGAAGATAGAGTAGTAGAAGATATTTCTGATCTCTGCTCTCACACTGAGCGAGAGAGATGTTACAAAGATGTTACGCTCTAAAAATAGAATTCTCTCTTTCTCTCTATCATCTGCCAGTTAAATGTTCGTAGACGCGTCCTATCAATATGGCGTAGAACCCGCATTTATAGAGATTTTTACAGCGGGTTCCACTACGAACTGAGACGATGTTAAGGTGATTTCAAAATTTTGTGTTTTTCTTGGAAACTTTTGGAAAACACTTAAAAGCAATTAAAATATAAAATAAATAGATTTAAAATAAACAAAAAGTGGATGTCTCGAGCCTGATTTGAACTTGTTTCCCTCTGCACATCAGCCAAGCACTCTTCCACTTGGGCATCTCTCATTCGTTGTCGAAGGAAGAATAGCTTAAACTTAACTTGTCGCGCGGTGAAACCCGCTCGTTTCAGCAGGTTTAGCGCTGGAACCCGCCATAATAAATTTTAGTTTCTGTGAGATGTCCCATGCATGTACTTTATAATCTTTGATCGAACTGCTAAACTATATCCGATGCGATACATATTTGTTCTTAACTGAAAAAGTATATCAACTACTGATCCGCACGAAACAAAACTAGGTCTGTCACTCTCGACCCAGACTGAAATTACATTTTTAAGACCAATTCGAGCACTGATTTCAGCGCAACGTGACAAAAATAAATTACATTTCTGGGACCTATAGGGCTGTTTTTGTATACCCTTGCAAAGGGTATTATAATTTTGGTCAAAAGTGTTGAACGCAGTAAAGTATACATCTCCGACCCTATAATGTATATATATTCTTGATCAGGATCACCTCCTGAGTTGATATGGGCATGTCCGTCTGTCTGTCTGTTTATACGCAAACTAGTCTCTCAGTTTTATAGCTACCGACTTGAAATATTGCACACACCCTTCTTTCGTTTGCACGCATTATATAAGTCGGAACGGCCGGGATCGGCCGACTATATCCTCTAGCTGTCATATAACTGATTGATCGGAAAGGCTATAACTTTGGTGTTTTTAAAGCAGAATAGTAAGAATTTTTAGAGAGCTAGAATTTATTATGAATGCTATTTTTGGCAAAATAATGCGACATGCCAAATTTCATAACGATCGGCCGACTATATCTTATAGCTACCACATAACTGAACGATCAGAAATGGTATTTGGTAGAAAAAACAACTTTGGTATTTTTGAAGATAGAAGCTTGAGACCTTTTTTAGATATTTTATTTTAATAAATTGGTTATATTATGATATTCTCATAAGGATCGGTCAACTAGCTCCGATTTTTGCGATATATATCCGGTTTTAGCTGCAAATGTATATCAACTTCGGCTTCGCCCGAAGTTAGCTATCCTTTCTTGTTTTATACTTATAGAAACTAAAAACATAAAACCTTAAGCTTATATATAAATGGTTTGAATTTTAGTTAATATCAACTCCTACAATACCCACCCATCTCAAGTTTGTTTCAAAATTTTCAACGCCCTCCACCAAAAATTGCAAATTTTTGCAACGCCAGTACTGGGATGTATTTTAAAAAACTTTTTTAAGTTAAAGAGTTCAGATTTCGTACGAATGCTATTTTAGGAAAAATAATTCGACGCACAAAATTACAACTGAATGATCGGAAATGCTATTACATTTGTGTTTGTAGAGTTAGAGAGTTCAGATTTTGTACGAAAATTTTGGCAAAACACTACGACATATCAAATTTTATAAGGATCGGCCGACAGAAAGACAGAACTTCGTACAGATTCTATTTGGATATACCCTTGCAGTTAAAACCGCTTATAAATCGCAAATGTCGGATGGATCGGCCAACTAATGAAAATACAATAATATAACTAGTTTACAAGAATACAAAATTAAAAAAAAAAGTTCCCATGCTTCTATCTTCAAAAATACCAAAGTTTGTATTTTTACCAAATACCATTTCCGATCATTCAGTTATATGGCGGCTATAAAATATAGTCATAAAATATAGATAGGTTTGAAAATCAGTAGTTTGGATCAACTGTACTGTAAAATCTAGAACGAAGTTCCAATTTTCTGTCTTCAAAAACACGAAAGTTGGGTCATTTCCGATCGTTCAGTTATATGGCGCTCGTATTATTTTGCCAAAAATTTCGTACGAAATCTGAACTCCTTAACATAAAAAACACTAAAGTAATAGTATTTCCGATCAATCAGTTATATGTCAGCTATAGGATATAGTCGTTCGATCTCGGGCGTTCCGACTTATGCAAAAGAAAGAAGGGTGTGTGCAAAGTTTCAAGATGATAGCTTTACAACTGAGGGACTATTTTGTTTAGAAACAGGCTTACAGACGGACAGACGGACATGCTTTTATCAACTCAGGAGGTGATCCTGATCAAGAACATATATACTTTATGAGATGTCCTAGATCTCTCCTTCACTGCGTTGCAAAATTTTGACCAAAATTATAAAACCCTCTAAAATGGCATAAAAATTAATATAAGTGACATTCATTACTTATTTTTATTGTATTCCATAATTTATATGTATATAATGTTTAAAATTATTCATTATAAGCTTTTCACAAACTAATGTTTGTATGAAATGTTTCCAAGTTCCCTTTGTTAAGACCAATTGCTTTGAATAAGGAACAAACTTTTTCCCTCTACTCTAGGTGGCCTTACTCTAGGCCTTTATTATTGATAGCATAAAATCTAAACAGTGTTCTTTAGTTTTCTTAATTATGTCTTTATAACAGACACTTTCCACTGTTAAATTAAATTCTCTTATTTTTTGTGTTTGTTTTTATGTAAATTAACTTTTCAAATAAGACAACAATATTGAATCGGATAGAAGTGAGGACTACTGCCTGGCCAGTCCAATGTTGATACTCGATTTTTCTGCAAATAATACTAGAAATTTAAAACTTTAATTATGGTTTAAACAAATCCTTAAAAAATTAAAAAAAAATATATATCCCTTTTTTTTTGCACGTTAGCAAGTCCTGAGTCGTCCTGAAAGATTATGTTTGGGGCATGAAAAAGATGCTCCTTCATTGAGGGTAGAAGGTGACGATTCAGAACACCTTGGAACTTTTCAGCATTCACAGTTCCATTAATTAATGCCAGATCAATGCCAGTAAGAAAAGTATGCCCGGACCATTCGGCATGCTTCTTGCCTGACCGTTCGCCGTAAGCAATTATTGTTAAAGCGTTTGTCGCGTTTGGCGCGCACCTAGCTCATACTATTGTAAGAAAAATGGATTATTTTGGTGTCGTTACAAAAAATGACGTTTCGCCAATCATGTTCAGTCTAAGATTCATGCATTTTGACCCACTGTAGCCTTTTCTGGAGCATTTTTGCGGTCAAGACTGGGTTTTTCGCCGGCCATGAAATCCGGCCTCCTCAATGTTCCTTTTGAACGGTTCGAGTGCTTATTTTGACAACTTTTAACTGGAAAAACTTACTTCTTACATGTTTTGCTGATTTGAAACGATCAGTCATGCCTAATCGTGAAAGGTTTCGAGTAGTTGGTAGTTGGTCTTCTTTTTCTTTCCTGATCCTGGCAAATGCTTTAGAGTTCTGATTTTCTCAACATTTTGTAGGAAATCCTCTAAAAGAAGACTTAGAAGAAGAAGACTTAATAAATCCAACGTTAGAGCTTATTCCTCGGAAGCTTAAGATTTTCGATTGTAAGGCCAATATGCCCCCTTGAAACCTTTCAGTCATTTTCGACACATTTAAAAAAAAATTTTTTTTAACATAAGAAATTTAATAATTTAAAAAATGCTTTTCGAACCTGAAAGCAAAATACTTTTTGGATATAACGAACAAATTTTAACTCGATATAATAACACGCGCTTCCACCACACTAATGTAAAGTTCACATTTAGTGCAAGTACTTAGGTGTCCGGATTTCATTGTCCGATTTCATTGTACGGTATACTATATAGATGAAATTTCCTTCAATTGTTTTTAAATAATAGCATTAAGTAATAAAGGCAAAAAGGGCAAAACGTAATAAATAAGTTTATTAGAAATGGCGTATCCGGCGGAACATGGATCCAAAGGGGCGCTGATTGACGCATCTTTTCATGTGAAAAGCAGTAAAAAGGACTAACATCTTTAAATATATTTATTCCTTGAATTTGCTGAATTTTTTGGAATAGTTTGGTAAATTTTTTTTTAAACTGGTGCTAAATTCATTATTATTGATGCATTTTCTCTTTTTGGTCTTCAAATACGTTTAATGCGTTGACAGGTCTTTGCAGTTATAATTACAATGTGTTCCAATATTTTTGTAAACAAAAAAAAATGTGTCCAAAAAATTACATTATAGGTATTATGAAACTGGAAGCATACGACCACGAGCAATTGGAGGCTCCAAGCCACGTGTAGCCACAGCCGAAGTTGTCAGTAAAATTTCGCAATATAAACGGGAATGTCCAAGCATATTCGCTTGGGAAATACGCGATCGGTTGCTTCAAGAAAACGTTTGCACTAATGATAACATTCCCAGCGTAAGTACAAATAAATTTCCATTTATTTAAATGTAATAAAACTCAGTTTATTTCCATAAGTGTTCTGTTTTGTAATTTTGCACGACCTAATCGATTTTTTTCCGCCATTATTTTATGTTTTCTAGCAGTTTTTTTTTTTTATATCAATCCAAATGAATACGATAGAAACTCCCATGCTGATGGTCGAAGCCGTGGCCAATGGCGTCCTGCTTTTTTTTAGTTCTAAGCCCATTGACAGTTGTGTGGAAAATGTGTTCGTTCAAATGGAAGGAAAAATCTTTTATGCGTATTAAGCGACAAAAAGGGAAATCAGTGCTAGAAAAATGTATGAAAAATACAATATTAAATAAATACGGCCCGTCGCCACCACAAACAGTTAAGCGTCGAAGTTCACGCGCCAGTGCAAAGGGGACTGCTGAATCACGTTCGCAACGGGAATAGGCATTTGGGTTGTTTTCAGTTTCGGATTTGGGGTGGGAAACCGTTGGTTGGCCGGGCCTCAGATAAACTTTTAACGCCTGTAATGATAAAATATTATTTTTCTAAGAATTTACACTCTCTAGAACAAAAATAATTTCGTAAGTTTTCAATACTTATTGATGTTTTTTGTGAAAAACATGTTCCATATTTAGCTTCACTTATTAAAAACGACGGTAAAATTGATTTAATCGACTTAGAAGAAGACTCTGTTACTACTCTGTTACCTACTCTAGGTAGGTATTTTCCCAAGTTCCAATTCTCCCATATCCCCTGATAAGGGCCATTCAGCCTAATTTTTCCACTCAACTGCACTTTTTCTTTTAGTTCTTACTCACTCACTCGCTCTTTTATATGTTAGCTGTTTATTCTTTCCTTTTTTTGTTTCCTTTTGAATTACTTTGAAAAGCGTTGTCAAGTACAGGCATCAAATTTAAGATATTAAAGACTTCCAAAATTGTAATTCAATCGTTTGCAGAACATGAATATTTTCAGTAAGATCTGCTGCGAAAAAATTAAATTTGAAAAAATCGAATGTAGTCTTTTATTTACTTTATAAAATCTTTTCCTAAATGTAGGTATCATCGATAAACCGTGTTTTGAGAAATTTGGCGGCGCAGAAAGACCAGCAAAACTCAGGGCCAAGTGTTTCAACAGCTACGGGAACTAGCACTAGTTTAGAAATTTCGTCCCAAATAAATAACAGCAATGTAAAAAGTGTTACTAGAGGTACACTTTCGTCGGGGTCTGATCTTATTCAGACGGCAACGCCTTTAAATTCTTCAGAAAGCGGAGGAGCCAGTAATTCTGGAGAAGGTAGCGACCAAGAAGCCGTTTACGAGAAACTTCGGCTCTTAAACACACAACACGCATCAGGATCCACAGATACCAGTAACATTGCGTCATCAGCGTGTCAAACGCCTGGTCATTTCGGAACAAACCATTCTGGCAATCAGCTGATATCTGGTATCCAGCAAACCCATCATCAGCATCATCAAGGTTGGTCTTCCCGCCATTATTCGACTGGACCTTGGTATACAACCTCTTTAAGCGGCAGTGATACACCTATGTCATCGGCGCCCAACATGCCTTCGATGCCATATTCATCAACAATATCTGGTCAGCCTTTAAGTCCTAGGCATGAAATTGCAAGTTTGGGTGGTTCACACCGCCTAGGTCTAATAAACACAGAAGACATTTCCTTAAAAAAGGGTGAGTTAGTATTATTTTATTTTAATATTTTATTTTATTTTACATTAAGCTGCAAACTAACAATTATTATCGGACACATAAAGGCTATTATGCTTTTATATCTGTCTTTCAAGAGTTAAGGCCAAACTTTTTTTATGGGCCAATTTATCATGGGTGCGCAAAAAACGATAAAATTAAAATTTAATTTTAAGTCCACTTAAAGTGAAATTGACGTGCCACATACTCCTGTTTTTATACCCTTGCAGCGGGTATTATAATTTTGGTCAAAAGTGTGCAACGCAGTGAAGGAAACATCTCTGACCCTATAAATTATATATATTCTTGATCAGGATCACCTCCTGAGTTTATATGAGTATGTCCGTCTGTCGTCTGTGTTCACACTCTTCGCACACATTGTTCTTTCTTTTTCACGCAGTATATAAGTCGGAATGACCGAGATCGGCCGACTATATCCTATCGCTGCCGTATAACTGATTGATCGGAAATGCTATAACTTTGGTTTTTTCTGAGTTAGAGAGTTCGAATGCTATTTTTGGTATTTATTATATAATGCCACTAATTCAAAACAATACGACATACCAAATTTTATAACGATCGACCGACTATATCTTATAGTTACCATATAATTAAACTATCGTAAATTTTGGTATTTTTAAAGAGAAGATTTGAAGATTTTTACCAAACTGCCACTTTACCAAAAGCGTATACAAACTTCGGCTCATCCTGCAGTTAGCTTTTCTTTTATTTTATGCCATTTCATAAAAGGGTATTATAATTAGTTGACATGATTGGAGTTGACGCCTTCAATTCGAGTCGATATTAAGCATGACCATTTGTCTGTTTCTACAAAAACTATTCCTTCAGCTTAATGCCATCGAATCCAACTTTTCGATTGATCGGAATTACATTAATTTTGGTATATTTTAAAGTTTGGAACCTTCTGTAGATGATATTTTCTATGGTGCAACGCAGTTAAGGAGACATTTCCAATCCTACAAAGTGTATATTATGTACTCTTGATCACCTCAATGCTGATCATTTTTGAGGATCACCTACAGAGTCAATATAAGCATGTCCGTCGGCCTGTTTCTACGCATGCAAGTCTCTCAGCTTTAAAGCTATCGAGTTCAAAGTCACGAAGGACGACTATATCTTATAGCTTTGAAATAACTGATGGGTCAGCTACTTTTATATTTTTTATGTTCAAAGATGGCCATATTTGGCCATACAGAGCTCGGGAAGAGAAATTTCCTATGCCTCTGAATAAAAAAAGATTTACAGTTATTTGCAAGCCCTGGAAAAAAGTGTTAATATGTTGTAATACAATTAATAATAAAAAAAACGAAGACGGCTATAGTCGAGTTTCCTAACTATATTATACCAGGTATTAATTTCTTCCACATCAATTAAATTTTGAATTGTGCAGATCAAAGGTATAGACTTTAAAGAAAAATTTTTGTTGCATATTTTTGCAATTGGGAAAAAAACAATCGAGGCCTCACTAATCCCCCTACATATAGCTACATAAAGTTGAAAACAGAATATAAAGTGGATAACTCCTCTAAACCTTGGCTTCCGAGTATCCCATTTGGCTGAATTTTGATTTCTAGGTGTACATTAGCTATTGGTATTATTTGGCATTAAAACATTAAATGTTTTTCCAAAAACATCAACTATATATTTATATCGACTCGGCTGTTGATGCTGATTAAGAATACTATATGGTATACTTTATGGAGTCGGAGATGATTCCTTCTCTATGATACTACATTCACACGAAAACTATATTCCGTTGTAGTCTACGAGTACTAGGGATAATACTGTTAACAATTTTTGATCTATATTAAAAATATAAGATTTTCTACAGTGAATCTGGTCTATGAAAAAGGCCTAATAAGCCATTTTTTTCTGTGATGATTCAGCTCAGAAAATCAATCCCAATTATGGCTGATTTTGATCAGATTATATACTGCAACAAAGCTAGTTCAGTTCAGAATTAATTTTTAAAAATTTCAAAAAAATCAGTTCCGTTTGTTTTAATTGGCGATTCAGAAGTGATCAAAGGCACACATCAACATATCAAGGCTGACTGATATGACGGAATGCAATCCAGAGTTTTATTTAAGAAGTCTGAGTTCGTAAATTAAAGTTTTGTGTCTGATGTACCATGTATGCATTGAATTATCTTTCGTTTTAGTTCCAAAAATTATCTCATTAGCATACTTTATGATGTAGAAAAGTCTCTCCGTGAGATTGCTATTGCTATTACTGGTTGCTAGGTTCATATTTTTCAATACAAGCTTTCAATTATTTCAGCTGCCAAACTACTAATTTGATCCAATTAAACTTCTTATTCCAGAAAGGAAGGATGGACAACCACAGAAGTAGAAGTCTTTAGAGTTTTATAATAAAAGACCCTGTAAGACATACTTTCTGTTGACGGTTCATTTTATAATAATAAAAAGGAGTCACATTTTTGGCATTTTTTATTTTAATTCGTCAGCATTGTTAACAAATTGTAACGTACGCAACATTTTTACAGTTGTGGCCATAACTGTAAATAACTGATGTCATAATAAATTGTCTTGATTAGGTCGCTCGACGTTTTTCCCAACAGAATATCGCTTTTAAAAACTGTAACCGAAACCATATTGGCGTTCTAGCCTCAGTTGAATACTTCCCGTCATTTTTACATTACAAAAGAAACGAGAACTAACTGCCGGCGGAGCCAAAGCTAATAAGTCCTTGATAATTGAGAGTTAAGATTTTGGTCCGATTAACATTTATGAGAATTTCATAAAAAACCAATTTCTTAAAATAAAAAATCCCAAGTCTCTATCTTTCAGAATATAAAAGTTTGGTCATGTTCGATCGTCCACTTACATATAAGCCAACTTTAGGATATAGTCAGCTGATACCGGTCGATCCGACTTATATATTGCTTTCATAGAAATATATTAAGAGTTCAAATCTTGATTTCAAGATTTAAACAGCTTTAAACAGCTTTAAAACTGAAAGACTAGTTTGCGACTAGAAACATATAATTGGACAAATAAACTGGACAACTTTTTTAGTTCACTTATTGGCAATGCTTGGATACAATATATTCTAAGAAAAATGCAATTGGTGACGAGGAATTTTTAAATTTTCATCTATATATATTTGACTTTTCTTGGTCACAATGGTTTGTCTACCATTTTTAAAGTTGGTTTTTTATTGATAAAAATCTTAGTCTCTCATTCATCAATTTTTTCGATCGATTTGATATCCTATTACAGGTGCTACAGCTGTTTTAAAAAAGAGTGCAACGTTTTCTGATCAATGTATAGTCAGGAGAGAAAAATCACTCAGTCTAAGTTAAGCCGCAAACATGTGTACCATATCAGATACGGATTCTTTCCTTTCTAAAATGAGCAAACACAACGCTTTAGGCAACCTCTAACATTGCTACTGCCGTGGATGACAGGTTTACCCTTAACCATATAGTTTGTTTTAATGCGATTTACAGACTCATTTTACAGCCGATGACACTTCATTAAACGGCAAATCGTGAGGGTGGCTGCGGTTAGAGATGCTTCGGAATATAGATTGGATGGGGTTGGAGTTTTTCGTTGATGATTTTGAGGGGTGCATAAATAGATTACAGATAATACATATTTATAAAATTTTGTTTCGAGTCTCCACTTTGTATCCTTATCTGGGGTTGTCTTTAATATATTTAACTGTGTGAGTGTCACACTGCCGTCAAATTATAACTCAACCTTCATTCGTTGGCTCAACTCTCGTGTTTTGCTAGTTCGTTTTGTTGTTTGGCATCAGATGCCAACTGTCATTTTAGTACTCTAGACGGCTGTCAGAACATGAAAAATGTGCTTCAGAAATGTATGTATACAGACAGTGTAAAGCCTATCTTGCGGCATGCCTCAAGGCTATCAACATGTATTTTTCTGTCACATTCACTAACATTCAACGTCAATGGCACACAACTAATACAAACTAGTAGAACAATACACATATAAGATTAATAAATGTGTATGTGCAGTACTTAAATTCATTCCATCTCCTTTTAGAGTCGTAAAGACAAATTATGTTTCAAAATCACAAAAAAAAGGGGCTATTTTCTAAAAACCTAAGTTGGGTTATTACCGATAAGTTACCGAGAAGTAATAGTGCAATTATAGAATACCTACATCGGATTTGAATCCCTATGAAATTTGGTACGTCAAATCATTTTGCCAAAAGTTGAATCCGAAGAAAATCCCTTACTCTAAAAACACCAAAGCTATGGAGAAATCAGTATATACTGCGTGATACAAAATCAGTTATACACTGGATGCAAAGGAAAGAAATTGTGCGCAAAGGTTGAAGTCGCTAGCTTTAAAACTGTGTGACTAGTTCGTGTAGAAACGGCTAGACAGTCGGACAGAAAGGCAGACGGTATACTTTTATATACTCAGGAGGTGATCCTGATAAAAAATATACCATATATACTTTTTTATTCACTGCGTTTTTCACTTTTGACCAAAATTATAATACCCTCTGCAAAGATATAAAAAGGTAAAAATTAATAGGGTCTTCTTAGCGTTTTCCATCATAAACAGGCTATCTCTGGGATCCAATTTCACAAGTGAATTATGTTTTTTTCTGCTAAAAAGTAATATAAAACAAGAAAGAAAAGCTAACTTCGGGCGGAACCGAAGTTTATTATTCTGCCAAAAGTAGCTCTCGTGTAAAATTTCTATATTTAAAAACACCAAAGTTATACCATTTCCAATCAATCAGTTATATGGCAGCTATAGGATATAGTCGGCCGATCCCGGTCGTTCCGACTTATATACTGCGTGCAGAGGAAAGAAGGGTGTGTGCAAAGTTTCAAGACGATAGCTTTAAAACTGAGAGACTAGTTCGCGTAGAAACAGACAGACAGACGGACATGCTCATATCAACTCAGGAGGTGATCCTGATCAAGAATGTATATACTTTGTAGGGTCGGAGATGTC